CGGGGGTCAGCAGGCCCCCCAGACCCCTCTAGCCCTCGGGTGTCAGCAGAGTCCCTAGGAGTTCAGCGAAGCTCCCAGGCGTCAGCTGAGCCCCCAGAGGTCCGTGTCCCAGCTCTGCTGGGATGGGATGGTGCCCCTGCCAGGGTGAGGACAAGCCTCGTGCTGCCACAGCAGGTGAGGAAGAGCCAGGCTGCCTCAGTGGCCCCCTGCCACCCACCTCCCAACAGGCCCATCTGGAAATGCTGGGAAAGTGGCCTGAATCTGGAGAGATTTCGGGAAACGAGGGTGCCCCTCACCGCAGCCCCAGGCCCCCGCCTTCGCCCTCAGCAGCAGCGGAAGCCTTGCCTCCCAGCCTTGCCTCCCCGACCTACCCATGGCCGCCAAGTCCCCACAGTCCTTCTTGTGGAACTCGGTCCAGGCCTTGGTCTTGCAGTATTTGCTGCAGGTCAGGATCCCGTAGCAGCGAGAGCAGGGCAGGAGGCAGACCCCGATGGAGCGGCCACACTGGTAGCAGAACTTGAAGAAGGGAATTCTGCAACAGAGCCTCAGGTCATCAGGCGGCCACTCAGCGGACCCCACCAAACAGCCGCTGCCCGGGAGCTGTGCCCAGCCCGGCGCTCTTGGGCCACTCTCCACCGTCCCACACTGTCGCCTGCACAGGGCAGCCTTCGCACGTGGGCAGAAGACCCTAAGTCCTCATCCTGAGGATGTTCAGCACAGTGGTATTTAGAATAGGAAGCCAACAGGTGCCGGGCTCAGGAACCACCTAAGTGCCCGCCAGTAAGGCTGGTTAAGTGAATGCACATCCATTCAGGAGACCACCATGGTGTCGCCAACATGATGATGGGGGGATTTCCTAGGCATGCAGGGAAATGTCTGTGGGACAGTGTCACCGGGGAGAAGTGACTCTTTGAGGGCAGGGCATGGAGCCTGCCTTTGGGTGAGCCTCAAAGCACCAGTCTCCTCTGCTTTCAGAGGAAAATGAGCCCCCCCCCGTCCTGCACCAGTCCCCTCTCCATCACCTCACTGGGTGGCTCAGGGTTTATGGGATGGGGACGCCCACACAAATAGGGCCTGGTCCCTGCCCTCTCATCCCACAAGGGTGCACAGGCATGTAAAGAGACTGTTCTGGAACAGCAGAGTGGGTGCAGTGTTGAGACTCCAAGGAGAGGCAGGGGCCAGGAGGGTGCAGGGGTGCCACCTCGGCCGTGCAGCCAGCAGGCCAGGGAAACATCCACAGGACATCTTGCAAAAGCAGAGCATGGGCTCAAACCCCATTCAGTGGCCATTTCTGGGACGGGAGGTGGCCATTCTCCTGCAGGACATGGAGCCTATCTGTGACCCGCTAGGGGCAGCCCAGGGCAGCTCCGTGTGCCCTACGACCCTGCACCTCATCTTGGCTGAAGCCCATGGCCTGGGAGCACGGGGGTCCGATGGCATGGCCATGCCACTTGGGGGTCCGATGGCATGGAGGCTGTCCCGGGATGAGGTTGTAGGGCCAGGCACAGCAGCACTGTCCAAACCACAGGCTGCCGTCCTGGAAAGAACCCAGACTGCAGACACACTTACTGCTCCCGCTCCTTCACGTCCAGGCCCTTGGGCAGGCTGGGGCCCTTCTTCTTCATCCTGTGGCTGGGGATCAGCTCCGCTGCATGAAAGAGGGACCCGCATTAGTGCCCAGGTGGCAGGGTGGGGGCCACCACTGCAGATGCCACCTCCTTGGGCCCTCCCTGTGCTGCCTGCCTGCACTACCAGGGAGGCAGATGGGGGACCCAAGCCTTCAATGGCTCCATGGCAGGTGCGAGGACCTGGAGGTGCCAGAGGCGGTCCACAGGCTCCAGGGAGAGGCTTCACTCTGCTGTCTCCCTTGCTGTTCCACCTGTGTTGTGTCTTCAAAGTTTCTCAGATTTCCCTTTTGGATTCTTGTTAAACTTGTTATTTAGACAGGTGTTTTTATTTATTTATTTATTTTAGACAGAGTCTCACTCTGTCACCAGGCACCAGGCTGGAGTGCAGTGGCGCGATCTCAGCTCACTGCAACCTCTGTCTCCTGGGTTCAAGCAGCTCTCCTGCCTCAGCCTCCCGAGTAGCTGGGACTACAGGCGCGCACCACCATGCCTGGCTAATTTTTGCATTTTTAGCAGGGACAGGGTTTCACCATGTTGGCCAGGATGGTCTCGATCTCTTGACCTCATGATCTGCCCGACTCGGCCTCCCAAAGTGCTGGGATTACAGGGGTGAGCCACCGTGCCTGGCCAGACATGTGTTATTTTATGTGAGTTTCCCAAATGTCCTTCTGCTAGTCATTTCTAATTAAATTCCACTGTGGTCTGAAATGTGAAATGTATTATTTCTATTCTCTTAAATGTATTAAGGGTTTCTGATCTGCATATGGTATATACTGAAGAATGTCCCCAGTACACTTGAGAAGAACACAGATTCTGCTGCTGCCAGGTAGAGTATTCTAGAGATCTGACAAGTCTAATAGACTTGTTCAACTTCCTGCAGGTGCTGCCTAACTTTCTGGTCAGTTGTTGAAAGTGAGGAATTGACATTTCCAACTGTTATTGTTGCGTTATCTGTTTCTCCATTTCTGTTTCTGCCTCATGTATTTGGGTGTCTGTCATTTGGTGCATATGCGTTTATAATTGCTATATCTTCCTGACTGATTACACTTTTATCATAAGATGTCCCTCTTTATCACCAGTAGCGTTTGTAAGTTTATTTTTTGTGATATTAGCATAGCAATTCCAGCCTTCTTGTGATTGCTGTTCCCATGCTATTTTTTCATCCTTTGACTTTGTATCATTTGTTTTTTTCTTTTGGGATGGCGTCTCACTCTGTCACCCAGGCTAGAGTTCAGTGCATCTCGGCTCACTGCAGCCTCCACCTCCCAGGTTAAAGTGATTCTCCTGCCTCAGCCTCCCGAGTAGCTGGGATTACAGGCATGCACCACTGTGTTGGCTAATTTTTGTATTTTTAGTAGAAACAGGGTTTCACCATGTTGGCCAGGCTGGTCTTGAACCCCTGACCTCAGGTGATCTATCCACCTCAGCCTCCCAAAATGCTGGGATTACAGGCATGAGCCACCGCGCCTGGTCTGTACCACTGAATTTAAAATGTGTCTCCTGTAAACAGCACATAGGTGGATCTTGTGTTTTGATCCAGTGTAACAATCTCTGTCTCTTGCTTAATCTATTCACATAGATTATTGATGATATACAGTAGTTGTTTTCTAAATGTCTCGGAATTTTTCTGTTGCTGTATTCTTCCTTTACCCTCTGCATCAAGCGGTCAAGTGGATTCTTTTTAAGGTGTTGTCTTAATTTATCCAGTAATTTTAAACTATATTTTGAGCTCTTTTCTTACTGGTTGCATCAGGCTTTACCATATGAATATCCTTTTTCTCTTTTCTTTTTGAGACAGGTTCTCATTCTGTCACTCAGGCTGGAGTGCAGTGGCATGATCGTGGCTCACTGCAGCCTCAACCTCCCAGGCTCAGGTGATCCTTCCATCTCAGCCTCCTGAGTAGCTACGACCACAGGCACACAGCACCATGCCGAGTTCATTAGTAAAAAACGTTTTGTAGAGACAGGGTCTTGCCATGTTGCCTGGGATTGTCTCAAACTCCTGGGCTCAAAAGATCCTTCTACCTCAGCCTCCCAAAGTGCTGGGATTATAGATGTGAGCCACAATGCCTGGCCTACCATATGAATCTTGACTGGTCATAATCAGCTTCAGACCTATACTAATACAAATGAGATATTTAAAAGTTATTCCTATATAGTTCTATTTCCTTTTCTGCCTTTTTATGATATTGTCATTCAAATTACATCTATAAAGGTTATAAATCCAACATTATAAGAGTATTATTACTTTATATAATTTTATGCATTCTAAGGAATCTGAGAGATGAAAGGAGAAAACATATATATTTACAGGTTTAGTTGTATTAAAATTATTTACCATTTCTGGATCTCCATTTCATCTTCTCAGTTTGAGTTAGCATTTGGAGTCATTTCTTACCATGACAGAACTGTTCTTCTGCCCACTTCCTTTGTACTGTTATTGCCAAATATAAAATATTTCCGTATGTTATAGGCATACACATACATGCAACCACACACACACACACACACACACACACACACTATATATATATATATATATATATACAATGCATATATATACATATATACAAATTGCTTACACATAAATTATTTTAAATCGCTTTTAAAGTCAATTAACAAGAAACATGCATTTATATTCTTCTTTACAATTACCTTTGCCAATGCTCTTTGTTTATGTGCATTTAATTTCCACCTTAAATCACTTGCTTTCAGGATACCTTTGCAATTTCTTGTAAGGAAGGGCTGTAACAACCAATTCTCAAAGGTTTTATCTGGGAATATGTCAATTTTACCTTCATATTTGCAAGTTAACTTGCTGGGTATAAGATTCTTGGTTAACAGTTTACCTAACTTTGAGTACTTTGTTTTTTGTTTGTTGATTTTTAATTTTTTTTTTTTAATAGAGACTGGATCTCACCATGTTGCCCGGGCTGGTCTCAATCACCTGGACTCAAGCAATTCTCTTGCCTCAGTCTCTGAAAGTGCTAGTGTTACACAGATGAGAGCCACCGCGTCCAGCCATTTTTGAGCACTTTGAATAGAACATCCCCGTCTTGAGTCTCCTCTAGCGACCCTCTATTGCATCTTTTAATTATTATTTATGCAAATCTGTGGAGTACATGAAAAGTTTTGTTACATGTATATACTGTGTAGTAATCAAGTTAGGGTATTCAGGGTGCCCATCACCTGAATAACATACATTTTTGTTAAGTATAGTAATTCTACTCTGCTCTAAAACATTAAACCTATTTCTTCTATCTTACAGTACCTTTGTACCCTTTAAGCCTCTTCTCTTCATCCTACTCACTTCCTCTACTCACCCTTCCCAGTCTCTGTTATCTATTTTTCTATTCTCTACCTCCATGTGTTCAAAATTTTTAGCTCCCATAAGTGAGAACATGCAATATTTGTCTTTCTGTGCCTGGCTTATTTCAGGTAAGATAGTAACCTCCACTTCCACTTGTGTTGCTACAAATGACATAATTTAATTCTTTCCTATGTTTGAATAGTATTCCATTGTGTATCAGCAAATGAATCAATAAAGAAAATGTGGTATATGTGGTACATCTATGCCAAATTTTCTTTATTGATTCATTTGTTGATGAACACTTGGGTCAATTCCATATCTTAGCCATTGTGAATCATGCCGCAATAAACAGGCAAGTGCAGGTACCCCTTTGATATATTGATTTTCCCCCCTTTGGGTAGATAGTAGTGTGATTGCTAGATTGAATGATAATTCTATATACATTTTTAGAAATCTTCATATTGTTTTCCATAGTGCCTGTACTAATTTATATTCCACCAACAGCATGTAAAAGGTCCCTTTCTTTGGCATTCTTGTCACCATCTGTTATTTTTTTTGTCTTTTTATAATAGCCATTCTGACTTATTTGCATTTCTCTGATGATTAGTGATGTTCAGCTATTCTTCTTTTATTTAGGCATAAGACAAACAGATCAGCATTTTTTTCATACACCCATAGGCTGTTTGTATGTCTTCTTTTGAGAAATGTCAATTCATGTCCTTTACCCAAGTTTAATAGGATTATTTTTTCCTGTTAAATTGTATTAGTTCCCTGTATATTCTGAATATTAGTCACCTGTCAGGTAAATTCACCAGGTTGTCTCTTCACTATGTTGATTATTTCTTTCATTGTGCAGAAGCTCTTTAGTTTCATTAAGTCCCACTTGTCTATTTTTGGTTTTGTTGCCTGTGTCTTTGAGGTCTTAGTCATAACTTCTTTGCCTAGATCAATGTCCAGAAGAATTTACCCTAATTTTTCTTTGAGTATTTTTATAGTTTCAGGTCTTACGTTGAAGTCATTAGTCCACGTACAGTCTATTTTTATATATGGTGAGAGATAAGGGTCCACTTTCATTCTTCTGCATGTAGCTATCCAATTTTCCCAGCGCCATTTATTGAAGAAAGTGTCCTTTCCCCTGTGTTCTGTCAGCTTTGACAAAGATCAGTTGGCTGTAAATATATGGCTTTATTTCTGGGTTCTTTATTCTGTTCCACTGGTGTACATGTCTATTTGTATACCAATACATGCTGTTTTGGTTACTATAGTTTTGTAGTATATTTTGAATCCAGGTAATGTGATACCTCCAGCTTTGTTCTTTTTGTTCAGGACTGCTTTGGCTATTTGGGATCTGTTTTGGTTCTATATAAATTTTAGAATTTTTTTTTCTGTTTTTGTGAAGAATGGTGTTGGTATTTTGATAGGGATTGCATTAATTCTGTAGATTGCTTTTGGTGTTATGGTCATTTTTACAATATTAATTCTTCCAATCCATGAGCATGGAATGTCTTTTCATTTTTGTGTGTGTGTTCTCTTGAATTTCTTTCCTCAGTGTTTTATAGTTTTCCATATGGAGATCTTTCACCTCCCTGGTTAAGTTTATTTCTAAGTATTTTTTGTAGCTATTGTAAATGTGACTGCCTTCCTGAATTCTGTCTTGGCTAAGTCATTATTGGTGTATATAAATGCTACTGATTTTTTTGTACTTTAGTT